TGGTCATGAGGACTCTCTGGAAAGATTGTAAGAAAGTGTTCGCAAAGGTTCTGCATTTTCCTGTCTATATTTATAACAAGTCAGTGGTTTGTGCCCTTGACAGGTTCCACTTGATGCAAGCATAATCCATTACACATAGGCCCCACATAAACTAAAAAAAAACTACCCCCTTTCCCTTCCTTCTCCCGACGAATACGATATTCCCTAATCTCAAATCTGAGCACAGGTGTGCATAAGCATGTTTCTATTTATTTATCTGCTGAGGCAAGTACTTTTATATCGCTGTATGTCCATACAGTTACAGACTACTCATTATTATTTTTTTCTCTCTATTTTCAAACAGTTATTCTACTTTCTGGTGATTTTTGCTTTTTATAATTTTTGCTGTACCATTGATAATATGAATGATAATTCACTTCGCAGTTCGGTGGCGCGTACTGTAGTTCCGGACGACGCTTTGAGTTTAAATCTTCTAGTTTTTTTTTCGTTTTCTCTTTAGTTGTAGCTTCTCGATGCTTCAAGGGTAACCCATCCAGTCTTTTAATGTCATTCTAAACTTTTTCAAGTTTTCTTTATATTTTTTAGCTTTTGTTCTCTCTTTTGGCGGCAAAAGCTGTACAGTTCTCTGTCTGGCTTCGGCATAAGACGAGCTTCATGTGTCGAGACGCGTGGGTCAGTCATATGGCGGCGCTCGTTCGTCCGGTCACTGCGAGGGACAACAGTGGACGCTCAATTCAGGAACGTGCGCTTAATTGCTGCAAACTAAAAAAAAATATTGTGCGAAATTAGTGCAAACAGGAGGAAATACATTAGAAAAAAAAGAAAAGCACACAAGTGCATATGGTTCAATAAAAACAACAACAACAACAACAACAACAACAACAACAACAACAACAAAAACTGGGGCACTTAGTGAAAACGCACACGAAACGCTGTATGCTGTGGATTTATATGCGAAGGCGTATTAATGTTTGTTGAAATAGGCGGTGAGTGGGTTTAACCGGTACAGCAATGTTAAGCTAGAGGGAGCTGCGAAAGGTGATAATTGTTTGGTTCGATTATGTAATCGAAGTTTTCTTGTGGTGTGTTAAAAAAACAAGAAAAGGACACGTGGCGGCTACTCCTTTGGTCATATGGTGACGAGTACTCCTGTGCGCAAAATTTTAATAGTGATACAAATACTGTCAGAGAAAGAATGGCACATGTATTTAAGAAACCTACGGCTGGGTTTGCTGAAAAGAGAATAAACTTTGGTATACAATCCTACACACCCGATCATTAGCAGACAATACGCACGATGATATTGCAACGCACACTTCATTGAGTAGCGATACATATACGTGTAAAAAGTGTTGCGAAGACGTACACGAGACCGCATTAAGGCCCGAGGTATGCAGGCGCAAAGGGTGAGTAAGACAACCTTATGAAAAAATAGAGAGTCTGCGCTGAGGTTTGTGAGAGCCAAATAAATGTGCTTAATCACACAACGCCTAAAAAGAATTATCACCCACATGGCCGACATGTGCGCTACAGTACTCAAAGATTGAAGCAAGACAATCCAGGGATAAGTAGCGCAAGTATACTTCCGTTTCCACCGTTTTTTATTCGGGTAATATTGGCATGTTTTTTATTCGAACACGTAGATCAAAGTCAACAGCATCTTTAGAGACCAGATTGGTCACGACAAGGCGTGGTTTGCTCGAGAAATCGCGCATACAGTTTGCTATTCTACAAAAATGATGTCGTGTTTGAATGTGGTACTATACGTGCACATGAATACGAAGCGCGGGTTCTGGTGACATTGCTCTAGCAAGCGCTGCACTTAGTACGGATTAAGCATGCTAGTTTCTTCAAAAAATGTTGAAGATTTTTGTCAGGAGTGACGTGTAGCACAACAAAAGAAAGTTATAGAAAATGCCAGTGAGCAATTATTTTTTCGTAAGCTGCGAGAAAACAGCGTCGTAGAAAACTCCCCCATTCTAGGCTGCAGCTTCGTGATAGTTTTTTGGCTATGGGGGAGCGCTGCTAACTTTGAAGTCTTGGCTCCATACCCTGCCACAGGGTCGCATTTCTATGCTAACACTATTGTGTATGAAGCACCCGTTATACACCTATAGGTACGCGTAATAAAAGTAACACTATTTTCTCAATGCTAACCAAGGGCTCACATTATGATGTACCTGACATGTTACTTTTGAGTCATACTCAGAGCTCATTTGCGAACGTTTTCAAAGCTTGCTAGTTGCCGCTATGAATGGTCCGCAGCTATTTTCTTTCACATTTTTTACTCTCATACTTTTGAGATGTACTTCCAATTGCATAAGTGCTTATTGCAGGAATAATGTAATGTTACAGAACAAACGCAGTAAAGTAACAGATATACGCGAAAATCAAGAAATTCATAAGAAGTATAACTACATACTTTTTGGATAACAAATATAATCAATAAATCAATCAACCAACCAATCAATATATTAATCACCAATGAATTATTTATTTACTACATAACTGTTCAACCACCATCATTATGATCATCATAATCATCCTACGGACGAAATCATCTTTCAATGATCGCAAATTTACCTGGTCTCTTTTGCGAACCAATTCCATTTTGGACCTGCCGATATCCTAATGTAATCACCGCAATACAGTTAGAAATATAATCATTCAAAAGATTGCCGATGCTCTCGTTTGGTGATCTCCTTAAAGTGGGCCGTTGACAAGGCGGTCGCACTTGTCGCATTTCTGTTCATTTGTTGTTCCTCGCAAGGAGATGGGCACCCAAGAGTCGCTGCAGCTAGACATTAGCAAATATTGCGCTTTTTTTCGTGATAGTCACATGCGATCTGCCTGCGTACTTATATAGCCTGGTGATGAACGGGTCGACAGGCTGACTGTCTGTCTATGTTTTTGAACGTATCGATAAAAACATTGCATGTCATAGGGCTACCTTGCTGCATATTCCCAATAGCGACACAAAGTTCGGCACGGTACTTTATTATGACACGCTGTATATGCGTTATCAATACAAATTCTTCGCGTTGCAATGGCGAATGGCTCCGCCATGCAATGACACGTGATCTCCATCGCGTGTTTAGCATCCGTATGAGCTAAAGTGTCATCTCCCAGCTCAAACATTAGCAGCAAAAAAAAAAAAAAAGGAAAAAAGAGAGTGCTTGCTTACTAATTATGCCATCACAGAAAGCTGTGCCAGCCCTACTGTGCTTCGGGATAATTTTTGGGCAGTTGCTGTTAATGTATATTATCGTTCAAATGACATCGAAATTTTTCTGTGTTAATATTAAACGACATATTCTGATGCTTACAAATAGTGCACTGTGTAATCTTGGTGAGCGATAATATCTAGCCAGACAAATGTTTAAAGGCATAATTTTCTTTTGGATAGCTTATTACTTTGAATACAGTAGCCACGCCGCTGTTTGCCAGCTGCACTACATTAGTGACTGATGATCTAACCAGTTGGCTAGGCGTGCGTAGAAATGCTGCTATAAGGAAGGTAGTTGCTTCCGTGACAAAAAAAGGCAAAGCACTGTAGCTACAACATTATTTCCAGCGAGATGCCTCATTCGATGTCATCTAGCTTTATCTCTCTTGAGATTTGGTCATGACTGAATTTCATCAGTAATTTTGCTAGAGAATCGTTCGTATGGTGAACGAATACATTACATGGTAGTGAAAAGCAAACCGATTGGATTAGCCAGCGCTTCATGCCCATCCAGTCATTGTTTTTTGCTTGCTTTGTACTGCATTACGCTGGACCTAGATTAGCGTCAGTAATCACTGTGCGCCACTATGCCATTTTCTTACACGTTTCTGCGGTGAAAGAAGATTGCACAGTAGAATTTGTGGCGGGAATACGATGGCTCATTTTCAGCGCGTCCTTCGTTAGACTGGTAAGAGCTGTTACTAAGACAATCAGCGCTGTACAAAATGTATCAGCAATTACTTTCCTCTTTTGGATCAAATATATTCTATGGAGAGCTTTAAGGATTCGTATAAGACACATACTATAAGTGACTGATTCGCTTCTCTAACAAAATAAGGGCTTGAGGCAGTGAGTCTAGAAATTTAAAGTTTTCACATTTTTATTCATTGTTAAGTGAGATGGTGATAGTACAACATTATTAATCGAATGCTTGGAAATCTTACTGACGGTGGTTATGAAGTTTTATGGGATACTATTTCGAAATTACCGCATGTCATTTTGTGGATGTTCATGGTCTCTTTGCGCTCTAAAATGGGCCAGTATAAAATGAACAAGTCATGGTACATTCGGAGCAGCTTTTTTTTTTTCTGCTGCGAATGCACTGAAACATGGGCTTGTTCAGGATGCTGAAAAGACAGGCAAAGCAAACACGGACACAAGAGAGAAGTTGAGAGACCACAAGCTTCTCTCTTTTGGTCGTGTTTGCACGCCCTGCCTCATTAACATGAATACCTCCCGACTGTTTCTGCTCTCTGCCATTATAATGTAGGCTGAATGATGCCAGTAACCCACCCCGCTCCCCCTTTTCGCTAATGCTAAGCATCTTTCCTGGTGATGACGTCGCTTTCATGAGGCGAGCGGGTCAATTTGAACAAAAAAGGGGGCAACAAGACGACACAACACGGACCTAATTGCATCACACGCCTGCAATGGAAGAAATAAGACAGCCACGAGAAAAGGAACAGGCCGTTGCCTGTTTCCGGGTGCATTTTGCTGCAACGCTTGTAACGGATGGTTAAAGCGACTAAGCTTAGCCAGCGCCCACGATGCCGTCCCATTGAAAAACAGCACTGCAGCATTGGCGTCATTTCTGGAGGTGACAGTGATTAAATTTTCGTAATCTGCGAAAACGTAGGGCATTTTGTTTTACCCCTTTTTTTGGTGGCACAGAGCCAAAAGCAGTCGGTGAAATCACGTCTTCTTTTGATAATGAGAAGAAGTGTGGCCATGCCAAAATAACAAAACTTTTCCTCGTATTTCTTTTTCATTACAGCGTAAAAGACGCATCGATCTAGTTTGTTTCCCCTCTGACAAGGCAGCAAGCATCCCAGAGGCGACGTTATGGCGAAGGTCCAAGAGAAAGGCGCGGTACTTGAGCTTATGGGCTGCGAGGAAGTCACTGCGAGCACTCCGAGGAATATAATAAAAAACGTAGTTACCATGAGCTTCAGTTTCCTGTTGCTCTTCACCGCCTTCCAGTCGGTGTCCAACTTGCAGAGCAGCATAAACTCGGTACAGGGACTGGGCACTTTCACGATGGCGACCATCTACGTCGCGCTGGTGCTTTCGTGCATGTTCGTGCCCCCGCTCATGATCCGAAAGCTCAACCTTAAGTGCACGCTGGTCGTATCTATGGCTATGTACGTGTTCTACTTCATCGCCAACTTCTACCCGACCTGGGCAACCTTGTTGCCGGCCTCGATCGTGATGGGTCTGGGCGGCGCACCGCTATGGACTGCCAAATGCGCGTACCTGACCACCGTGGCCAACGATTACGCGGCCCAGACTCGCCAAAAGCCGGTCGACGTTGTGACCCGCTTCTTCGGGCTCTTCTTCATGATCTTTCAAACGGCTCAGATATGGGGGAACCTCATCTCATATTACGTGCTCAAACCGGCCAGCAGGCCGGTTAACGCCAGCGCAAATATCGACAGCTGCGGGATTCGTTTTGTGACCGCCGAGGATGACGCGGACAATGAGAACCTGCAACCACCGGACAGCGCCAAAATTTACACGCTCATGGGCATCTACACGGCATGCTCGTTGCTCGCTGTGCTTAGCATGTTTGTTCTGCTGGACCCGTTGACACCACCGTCAAGGCTTGCGTCTAAGAAGCCGGCCGCGCTACTCGTGGAGACACTGAGGCATCTGCGCAAGCCGTACCAATGGGCCATTCTGCCACTCACTGTCTACAGTGGCGTCCAGCAGGCGTTTCTCATCGCTGACTTCACTCAGGTGATATGGCGTTGAAGCGTTCTTCAAATTGACGGAGTTTGTTTGGTTCGGTTACGGTTGCATGGTGGTTTGCATCTCTGCGAATAGCTTCCACGTTTCCCCATTCGTGAAATTAAATGCTATATGAACCAAATAATTTGGATATTGCTTGAGCCAGAAATATGTCAAGTATCTCATAACTGTGTCCCGTACAAAACAGGTACCTACTGTTTGCCGTAAGCTACCCTGCCAGATTATAATCCACCGTAATAACTATTGCCTGCAGGGTAATGTGGCTGACATTCTGATCTATCTATAATTCAGAGCGTGCTACTTCATTATAGATAGGCGTATATAAACTTGCGATTCTCTCTCATTTTCAGGCTTACGTGAGCTGCGCTCTTGGAATTCACTACGTTGGTTTCATCATGATCACTTTCGGGTTGGCAGACGCTGTCTTTTCGATGGCGTTTGGCACCATCATAAACTTCGTGGGAAGAATTCCGATATTTCTTTTTGGTGCTGCTGTTAACGGCGCAATAATAGCTGTTCTCTGCATGTGGCGACCAACGCCGGACCAGTTCTACGTTTTCTTCCTCATTTCCGGCTGCTGGGGTCTAGGTGATGCTGTGTGGCAAACGCAAGTGAATGGTGAGCACATGTGCCATATAATTTATAAAAAAAGTAGCTGCATACTTTCACCAAAAAGCGAAGGTTTTGTATAACTCAGAGCACTTGATGACACGACTACTAGTAGTTGTTGTTGTTGTTGTTTTCCTGTGCACATGGCTCGTACCACTACTACTAGTACTTGCTTGGGTAGTACTTGGGTAGCAAGTACTACTAGTACTTGCTACCCCCCTCCACCTCTTCGTATTTTATTTTATCTCTTACTGGTGAAAGAATATTCGCCAATGTGACTTATGAAATACAGGTGCATCATGAAATAGAATATTATAGTGTCGGAGATGAAGCATATGCTGGATAGAATGACAGAGAGTGCGGAGGTGGTTACACATTCCGCTAAACAAGTTCCCGCTGGGACATAGTGGCTAAGCGGTTATGACGTTGTGACGCTAACCACGAGGGCACGCGTTTAATTCCAAGTCACAGCGGGCACATTTTGATGCAGAGAAATGCAAAAACGTAAATGTACCTGACATCAGGAGGACTTTAAATGACTTCAGGTCATTGAAAATTGTATTCCACCCAAACGGCGTGCTTCAGAATGTAACTCAACAAACGCGAATACCTCAGCATTTGTTTAAAGGGCGTAGCGGGCCAGACATTCTCTAGTACATTTCAGCTTTATAAATAGCTGCAAACGTCGATAACAGTTGCATTGATTGTGGATATTGAAAGAAACATTTTTAAATTGGGGCTGTGTTTTAGAATAATCGAATGGTAACGTGAAGCGTTATGTCTCACTGCAGCGAAGCGCGTTCACTGAAGTAGTAGTTGGTATGCACTCTAAGAAGTAGAGGAGAAAGAGGGGTATCGAGGTTGCTCATTTAGAGGATTAACTAACTTCCCACACCCGTTGCTTCATTTTAGGGGTAATTGTGGAGTTACACCACCCTCTCGCAGTTACTCCTGAAAGAAGCAACAGTTATTTTTCGCAAAAAATCAGATTTTGGTTGATTTAACCAGCCTTTTGAATTGTGCTTGCATGCTATTAGATGTACAATCAATGTGCAAGCATCATGTTCCAGAAAATGTGCACCAAACACATGAGATTCGAATTAACGACCAATCAGTCAGCATGCGCATACACTAACCACGCCACGCTATGGCATCGTCTGGAAGGAAACAGGTTTATGTAAGCACTGGCGGGTCATTTGCACACGGAGCAAACATTTCTTCAGTTACTCCAAAAAACAGGGTGCTTTCCTCCACAAGGAGAAAAGCGCCCCTCCTTTTTATGCCGGATGCAAACGTTTGCACTCATTTTGTCTCTTTGGGAAGCAAAGCGCCCTTTTCGATGTAACTGCGCAATTACCCCGGAAAACTTTTCTTTGAGTGTATCTGCAGGAAAAACTGCAATTGCACTTGACAACCGTGCGCTAGACGTATAGAAAGCGCCTTTACACAGGGTACTAAATCACAAATGTAATTTTTCATGGCCGGAATAGCTTAGAGGCCGGCCACGGAAATCGCAAAATACGACTTTCATTTTATTTCATTTCATTATATTCAATACAAAATTGTTACAATTTGTCTTGGGGGACCCCACTAAAGGCTAAATAAACGCCTGACTAAGTCGTACTACCGTGGCAGCAAAATCATAGACACACCAACAAGCACTTGTTGTACAGAATACATTGGTACATAATCATCGAAAATGATAACAGGAATAAAGAAAATTATAAGTTCACAATTTTATAAACACAGCTGTCTTAACGTGATATTGATATAACGAACGTGTACTCATTTTGAGCCACAAACAAAAGAAAGAAAATAAAAATAGTCTCTCGCCGCTATTGCGAGAGGAATGCACAAAAGTGTACTCAACACTCACTAGCAAACAAAATTGATATGACCGGGCACGCTTATGTACAGAAGGAGAAAGCTACGAACGTACCGATCAGAAATTTTTAACAGAAAGAGGTTATCTATAACTCAAACAGGTCGTTACAAAAGTTACTAAACAATCACACGTCATTAGAACAAAGGTGTACACGAATACAAGACTATATAAAGTCACAAAATTTTAAGGAACAATTGGGTCATCATTTTTATCTGTTAGGAGTTCTTTTGTTATTTTTTGAAATAACTAACTGATGTTTCATCCTGAAATAAAAGGACTTCATATGTATTATCAGTTTCGATTCGCTTTTCGTAGCATGCTGCAATTTCTGTATAAGTTTAATATCTTCTGTCGGTTCTCACTGTTTGCTGATAAAATAGCGATTTTTAGGAGTATACGAGTTATTTTAAAACCCATAACATACAATAATGTCTTTTTTTACTTCCAGCCTTCTATGCCATTGTGTTTCCGGATGACGAGGAAGCTGCCTTCGCCAATTACCGTCTGTGGGAGTCAATGGGATTCATCATTGGTTTCGCCATACAGAAGCTGCTTCCAATTCAACACAAGGTGGCCGTCCTCGCCATATTTTTAGTCAGCGGCATGTTGGGATACCTGGCCATCGAGACGCACCTCGCAGTCAAGAAGCGAAAAGTTGTGGTTGTGACAAGGCCTGGCTGATGGCCGTTGGGCGGGGTGATGGGTCCCACGCGTAACTTCGATTTTAGCCTGTAAAAAGTAAAAATGATGTCAAAAGAGATGCCTTCTGTTTGCAGACGACTCTAGACTAAAGCAAGCATGCAATGCGATTTAAAACTTCAAGACTGTTACTATACTTACAGCCGCAGGGTTGAATGCGACAGAGCCTCGGCGTGTTTTCGAGTGAGCTGGTCTATCCCGCACGCCGTCTCCTTTGCCAGTATGATTCATTTGAGGGCAGTAAAAGCGCCATAAGCGTCCGGTGTGGACTCAGGCGCTACATCTATCCGAGGTGCCTGCAAGCAATCGATAATCCAGGCTACCAGTTGAGCACCACTCTACGAGAAATTACAAGGTCCAGTTTCAATTCTGGGTGCACGGTACTCAGGCTACATAACTTGCTGTACACTCTGCGGCTTGGTACGTGTCTCAGCATGACAAAATATTTTCGTTCAATGCGATATTGTTTTTTTTATAATTGAGAAAGTTTAAAAATGAATCCTTTGTGCGATTTTTTAGATTCTGAATAGTTAATTATGTGAGGAGCTACGAGTAAAACCAATGTACGTTTCCTTCCCATAAAGCAAGAGGGTTCTTTCCAAACTGCGCCACAAATTGTGCAAGGTCATTTGGTGTGATGAACATAAAAAGACTTCACTCCTATATCAAAATTGATCCGTTTCTTGTTGCCCCGCCGCGGTGGTCTGGTGGCTAAGGTACTCGGCTGCTGACCCGCAGGTCGCGGGTTCAAATCCCGGCTGCGGCGGCTGCATTTCCGATGGAGGCGGAAATGTAGGCCCGTGTGCTCAGATTTGGGTACACGTTAAAGAACCCCAGGTGGTCGAAATTTCCGGAGTCCTCCACTACGGCGTCTCTAATAATCATATGGTGGTTTTGGGACGTTAAACCCCACAAATCAATCAATCCGTTTCTTGTATTTACAACCAATCAAAAGATCGATCGACCATTTGACTCACTCCTGCACCGTCTACTGTTAGGTGTAGCATACACATCTCACTTAGTATGCCGCATGAAAAAATAAAAAAAGGAACGTCTCCACACTGCGACCCCTGTGGTCATGCCGGTGTGTCACTGGAGCATATCATCATAGAATGTCCACCGTATGATCGACAATGCGCTCAACTGAGTGATCGATTGAACCACCTCGATAGACGACCAGTTACAACTGACAAAGAGCTTGGACCATACCCACATTCTGATAATCAAAGGCGCGCAGTGAGCGCTCTTCGTGATTTTTCAATTGACACAAATTTAATGAACTGCGTTTAATTCTTTATTGATCCTTATCATTATCTGCACAAACTCTATCCGCAATGTGACCATGCTGTATGAACTAAACTATGCCGATAGACTGTGCTCATGTGTTATAATCCTATAGTGTATATATGTATATAATGCGCCTGGTTGTTTTTCTTTCCTTATTATTCTTAATTTTGGTGTCTTCGTGTGTGGCTAGTATATTACTACCATGATGTTGGAAAAACCGGCTGTAACGTACACTACCTGCTCATATACTTTTTTTTTCATAAGAAATGGGCAGCATTTCACGTCCTTGTGGTGATTTTATATTCTCTAAATGTGAACACACGATCGTTAAAGTTCTTATAATTATGAAGGAAAAATAGTTACAATGAGCGCCAGCGTTAGCGCTTGCGGGAGGTATCATTAGCAAAACTGACTAACCAATAGAAAAAAAACGTACTTACGCAAGAGAACTTTTGTGAATTTCGCCCCAGGTGCATAGTGTTATTGTAAGGCGTGGAACGATGACTCTCTAGAAGAGGGTAGAAAGGGGAACACTTTTGAAAGGCATGAATCCTTCGAATATGTCATCCTTAGCTGGGGGAAAGACTATACAGTAGCATGTGGTAGCAGACGAATGAACTCACAAAGTTCTTCGTTCGTAAGTGATTTCTACCATTACGTGGCCAGCCTTTGTAATGAAATGTCCAGCGTCACGATTGGCAGAAATTTCTTTTTACGAAAGAATACAGCGTAAGAGGTACGGGCCGAGGTTCGAATTGCGCGCGCCTTCGTGCCTTAGCTGTCGATAGATGGCAATAGTGTCTCGTCAAATTGAGAGCGTTTGCACGTCAACACCACTCAGCAGCGGACGCGGAGAGCATCGTTGCACTACAGCCAAATTAAGACTTTTTGAGGCTTTTTAGGCAGAAGAACAACATAATTTTCGTAATAACTTGTTGGGCTCGTTGATACGTGCTATGAGACCTAAATACGCTTATAAAACGCACAGAACCACTGTTTTCATAGGTTCCTTGCCTTGCACACACCTTTTATGGAAACAAGTGGATATTACAGAGTACGCTGCGTAACTTTGTTGACTCCAAGCTGATTGGATAGCATCCAACCGGTTCTTGTCACCTTCGTAAAAGTAGCTGAATGTAAAAAAAATGGACAGTTAGTATGCCTTCTTTCTTGCGATTAACATGAAACACGTGAAGAAAAAAAAAATGCTGTAATCAGAAATTACGTGGAAGCCTATCTAGCTCTAGGTACACACACACACACACGCACACATACATACATAAACACACACACGCATATATATATATATATATATATATATATATATATATATATATATATATATATATATATATATATATATATATATATATATATATATATATATATATATATATATATATATATATTTATTTATAAAAGAAAGAAGTGTGTACCTAAGGGCTCGTTATTCCGTGTTTTGACACAATATGAATGAGATCTAACAGACAGAAATGCCAAGGAATGTACAGGGGAAGATATTAGAACCAATGGAATGTAAATAAGAAAGAAAAGTGGGTGAAAAAATAACCAGCCGTGAGCAGGAATCGAACCTACGACCTTCGAATAACGCGTTCGATGCTCTCATATATATATATATATATATATATATATATATATATATATATATATATATATATATATATATATATATATATATATATATATATATATGAAAAACATCTGCAAACTTTTTTCACTTATGATTCTAGGTACCTAGATTTATCTGAAATATTGTGTTGGCCAAATCGCATAAACTACTGTGTGATCGGCTAGCAGATAGGTTTTAATAATGCCCCTGGTAAACTACATTTGAAAATCTTGCATATCTTCCGGTGACTCTGCATTCCACGGCTCCTAGTTCTTTTCTGTAAATGAAGTGATAATGCGTTATCCAGCTTAATAAGTGCGGTTTCATGGGTCTGTGCTTACACGCGTTTAGCTTTTACGAATGCTTTGAACGACAGCAAATTAGTGTAGCTATGAATTCATCATGGAAAAAGTTACGGATAGCACGCACGGACGCAAAGAAGGAAACCGGACTACAGAAACCCTGCCTATCAATTGAAATGACGCCCTGTAAAGGAAAATTAACTTATAGACCATCTCCTCGAATTGAGCCCTGATGCGATGCGAAGCCGCAGTGGTGCGCATGGCGTTGACCAGGTTGAAGCGGGCGTAGACGCGGGTGCTTGAAGAACGGTTTGAAGCGAGACTCGGTGTAGCGTTTACTCGAGTATACAAACGTTTGTTTGAAACGAAAAGCCACAGGAGGTGTGACGTGCAGCGTTTTTCCGGCGTTTCGTACGCCAGTGTCACTCGGCTCCGACGCTACCGGTGACGGTGGCAGAAACGTCCACTTAAGGACGATTCAGATATTTGCAGCGCTGGCGCCGACGTCAGAGGCGAGTCGACGAAGGGAGAACCAATCAGCGCATGGCTGCCAGAGACTTCGGCTCAATCGTTGCTGCTGTCAAAATGGCTGCCGCCTGCCACGGATATATTAAGTTGTCACCACGCTCTGTGTGACCCAAAAATTCTCAACTGATGCTTGTATTTGACTTAGCATGTTCTTCAGAAGCTTCGACAGGAAGCGCTCAGTATTTCTTCGAACCGTTTTTGAGCGCCATACTCAAGTCCATCGGTAAGGTTAGCAGGCCTGAGTGTATTGGTTGAATACATGGCCTCAAAGATAAACAACTTCCAAGCTTAGGGGCCGTAATCTGCGAGTTTCTGGTTCTTCCTATTCTCAACCGCTGGCGTAAGAAGTAAAACAAACGTTTTCAGTGGTAATGCAATTTGTTTTTCTCACCTCAGAAGTGAAAATAAGACAAGAAATCGGTTTTTAGGAATATTTCTTGTTGCTGCATTGACGGACACTGCACACTGCTTTGCGAGGTCTCGGGTTCATTCTCTTCGACACACTCTACGACGCTGAGCTGACGCTGGCTTTGGCGCTGCTCATATGGTTCGCCATCCTCTCTGGCAGCGTTGACGCGATGACGCCGAGGGAAGAGGCACCGGGAAAACGCTGGAAAAACGCTGCATATGTTTCGGGCTTAAGTTTCTTCGCAGATAAACCAGCCGAAAGAATGTCTCCACTTGAGGTGCGATCGAGCGTTGCGGGTGGTGGAGAGGGTGAAGAAAGAGAGAAGTGTGTTGCAAGCGCGCGGAAGAGCCGGCAGCTGTGGGAACTGCAGCGAGTGTGCTGCGCGTGAGGGTGAGAGGGACGTCAGCACGCACCTGCGAGGGAAGCGTGTGAGGGGAGCGTGGCGTCAACGCACAGCTGCAGCGTGACCTACTTGGCACTGCCCCAACACTTGGGGTGAGGGGACGCGTTGTGGTGCGTACGTACGGCGTTACACATGTGAGTCGAAAAGGTGCTTCGCATCTTAAAGAAAGTAGAGCAAGGCTTATCAGCGCATGATTGGGTATGGTAGCACCAGCCGCAAAGCAGGAGCACTTGTGGGTCTGGGATCAAGTTATGTTGTATTAGGATTGCCGAAAGTTTCGTTGCTTGGCCCTTGAAAACGATCGCTGCCAGAACCATATACATGTCGATTTAGTGAACAAACATGCAGAATTCTTGCGGAGAAAAACTTAGAAAACGCGAACCAACTAAAATATTTTTTAACTGTTTTATGCCAGGGTCCACCATGGCTCCGCTGACGTATTTTTGTCACAGATATGACGTTGTAGAATATGTACTATCAGATTGGAAAGAAAAAAAAACGGTGAGGTAGAGTAAACTACGATCTCTCGCTCTGCAGCGCGAAACCGTTAAGCCACGAAGTGTACGTTGTCCAGTTTGCTAACGGAGAGTCATTTATATACACCAGGTCCTCAGAGCTCAGCAACTACAGCCAGTTTTCGTCATCAGTAGCTAGATGGCTCAAAGGGTGCGTGTTGGGCGCGTTTAAAGGTCGTCGCCTCGCATGTTCCAATGCGCGCGCGCTTATAACCTGGTTCGGGTGCTTTGTACCTCTAGTGCATTCACCGCAAGTTGGTTTTGAAGTTACAGTGGTTAAAAAGAGCCCGAATGTCACTTCTCTCGCTGCCGCGGCCATGCTTACGAAAGGAGCGTGCTGCTTACACTCGAAGAACTAAGAATCGTGACAGTTGTTCGTGCTCGTCCTCTGTGTGTATATGTGTGTTCGTTTTGTGCGTCTTTCTGTTAGAGCAGCTTGCTCTAAGAGCCGAGCTGTGACTGTTGGTGGTCCGCGCACGTACTGTGTATGCTGATTTCGTGCGTGGTTTCTGCTTGAGGCGCTGGTTGCAAGCTTTGAGATGCTTGACATTCATCGCGTGAGATTACAATTTGTTCCTTTAGCGTTC